TTCGGATATACAGTGATGAATTGCCGGGCCCAGATGTGTGATTAGATGGAGAACTGCCATTGAACTTGCCGCTCATGGCCAACAGAGACCGTGTGGGAAACCACCTGTTCTCGGCCAAGATGAGTGCGACAACACGAAGTTCATACTTGTTTAACTCCACCATGGGACCAAAATGCGTGTCGCATGCGTCGGTCGATAATGTACGCGGTAGAGAACCTACTGTGCATTGTGAGGTAGAACAACAAACGACCCTAGCATACTGTCCGTATATTGAGTCTTCGGGGGACTGCCATGGTTTCCAACACCTGTAGGAAACAGTTGAGCCCATGCAAAATTGGCAAGACTTTAAATATGAGAGGATAAGTGGCGCACTCCCAGAGGGTTTTATAATTCAGATACCGGAAGAGATGCGGGGGGAAAAAAAAAGAGAGAATACAGCAGAGGTTCGGATAGTGCCTCTGTAGGCCCAGCGCAAAGCTGACCGAATCAACCTGTTGAAGTCGGGAGTATATTTTGTATGCCTCACACTTTCACCGCGCTCCCCGCAAGGATGTTCCAAGGCAGCGACCGATCTCCTGCTGTTGATCAAGCTGGTTGGCGGTTCGCTGGCTCAAAGTGGCGCTTTGTTGTGCACTGGCTTGCTAGTTATCGGACGTGCGGGCCATATCGGGTTCGGCTTGAGGTCGACATTGATAGTGCTTCCCGGTTAGCTGATATTTGCTTAGACGGCGCCCCTGGCCACGAAGGTTGGATCAGGGAACCCGTGTGCCTAAATTGGATTGAACCCGCGTTTCCGTGGCTAGCTGCTGCGTTTGTGGACTAGTACTCGCTGTGCAAGAGCCTGGACAATGACAAAATAAAATACCGCTGTTTAACAGTGTATTAAATCATGAACTCAATGATATAAGTAGACAGGGTAGTCTAGATGAGACTGCTAGTACTATTGAATATGCTCCTCAAAGAATGGCGAATTATTAATTCGTAATATACCAGCAATTAACAAATTTTTCCATATAGTTGTGAGTACCAGTAGAAAGGATATCTCGGAGAAGCCATTCTGTAGGTGATAGATACTAGTATCATCAAGTAGTTGAGCTTGGAAAAGAGCGAAGCCTGATATAAACTCTCGAGATAATCTATGGATGATGAAAAGACGGTGTTCTTCCTTGGTGCAGAGTTCATTCAATTTGTAGCCACGACTACAATGTCCATGTACTGCACAGTACTCCGTACTATGCACAGAGCTGCTTAGGCGAAGCCCGGAACTCCGGGTCCGCAATCAATTTGGTCTGTTCGATCCGGCTCGGTTGGGTGTATTGTGTACAGGGCCAGATGCCTTAGCGCTTGAGAGCGACGACTAATGGCCTTCAGGCTGGTAAAACGTTCCACCAATCAGTGTTCTGGTGTGATTCTCGTGTCCATCTCGCTGCAGAAAAGTCGTAGGATAAATGGTTAAAGCTGAACTTGAGGAATGCCGCAGGAGGGTTTGTCGTGCCTCAGGAGCATTGCCCTCCACAGACCATCCGCGGTATGTACTGCACATTATGATGCCGCACATCATTGCACCCCAGAACAATCTCACTAGCGCAATCAAGCTCCAGGAACTTAGGAGAAGACCCTGGCTAGAGCTCAAGCCCCTGCGTACTATCGTGATCCAGGCAGACCACGCAAAATCCAAACTCCCAAAACTACCCGCTACTGCTGCAAGGAGATTTAACTGCTAGCTTCACCCGTTGTGGCTAAATAGCGGGCAGGTTTGAAGTGATGCATGCATGGATGGCCAATTGGTCGCCCGGATGAAGATGCGAACTCGTGGACATTAGATATGTAGGAATCACCCAGCCAGTCCCTCCGAAAACACCAGTTGCCCGAATGGCAGACAATACCCGCTCCAATCGGAAAGGTGTTATGTGGCGGCTTGGCTAGGCCTAGAGTTGAAATAGCTTTTCGCAGTTGCGGGGAGAATGACGGCATGTTGAGATGCCTTGGAAGAGACAATGCCACAGACGCCCACTCCACCACCCTCTTCCGATTGCCAGGGTTGCATTTCGCCGTTATCGACGTCTGTGTTTCTCTTCTCGGGCCCAGTTCTAGTATCTACGATGCCTCACCTCGGCTAATTTACCAACACTCCCATTTTCGCCTGCTGCTCGCCCGTTAGACCCGAGGTTCGCGGTTGGTCCTTGCTCCGTTCGTCCTCCCCGCGCTCCGTTATCGTTCCCCCGCGGCGGCTATTTTACCGTTCTCATTCCCCAAGATAGCTGAGAGTGTATTTTCCTCCACAGAGGATATTGTTTAATATACATACCGTCAACATGGGAAGTGACATCGACTTTACCACATTCCATAATGTGATCGGGGGTAAATTATCCTCCAAGGAACAAACCCGCCACGGCATCAATCCAGCAACCGGGGAACCAAATCCTGATGTTCCAGTCTCTACTCGCGCCGATGTTGACCGCGCTGTCGAGGCGGGAATCGCTGCATTCAAGAGCTGGTCCAAAACCCCATACGAGGAGAGGAAAAAAGCTCTCCTGGCGTTTGCTGATGCTGTGGGGCAATATTCTGAGGACCTCACCAAATTGCTCGTGAAAGAGCAAGGGAAACCGGTACTGTGCCCCTTTCCTGCCAGATAATTTTACCAACCCGAGGATGCAAATGGGAGTTAATGCTTTTAAATTTTTCTATCGTATATAGGCCCACTTTGCCGCCGCGGATATTCAGTCTGGAATTGCCAGTGTTAAGGCCACTGCCAACTTTGAGTTGAAGGATGAAGTTCTCGAAAACAACGAGGACAGAGAGGTGATTCTCCGCTATACGCCATTGGGTGTTGTTGTTGGAATTGTCCCATGGAACTTTCCTGTTATGCTCTGCCTGATCAAAATCGCACCAGCTCTTCTTACTGGGAACACAATCATTGTTAAACCTTCACCGTATACTCCCTATTGCGCACTGAAACTTGCCGAAATTGGCCAGAAGTTCTTCCCCCCTGGTGTCCTCCAAGCTCTTAGCGGTGATGATAATCTGGGACCCTGGTTGACGGCCCACCCTGGACCCGCAAAGATTGGTTTCACGGGTTCATCAGCAACTGGGAAGAAGGTCATGGAGAGTGCAAGCAAGACACTGAAGCGAGTTACTCTTGAGCTGTACGTTAGGATTCATGTTCTGCTATTTGTGGTTGAAATGTGTATCAGGCTAAATTCTTTTTGCCATTATAGAGGCGGAAATGACCCTGCAATTATCTGTCCTGATATCAATATTGAAGCAGTGGCAGCAAAGGTTTGCATTTCCTTGCCAAATTCTACTTGGCAGGCTGTCATAGCTAACTGGCAACCCCTAGGTCGCGCTGGCGGCATTCTTCAATTCCGGACAGGTATGTATTTTGGAACCATACGACTCTATACCCATCTATCAGAGTTACTATTTCCCAAGACTCAACATGTCGTATTTTAGGTCTGTATCGCAGCGAAACGAATATACGTCCACGAGTCCATCTATGAAAAATTCCGCGACGCAATGAGTGTCGCCACGGCGAAATTGGTTGTGGGTGAGGGTAATGAGGCCGGTGTGATGGTTGGCCCCATCCAAAACTCCATGCAGTACGAGAAAGTTAAGGAATTCTTCGCGGATATTGAAAAGGAAAAGTGGACCGTTGCTGCAGGCGGAAACGCCGAAGTTCGGAAGCCTGGGTACTTCATCCAGCCTACCATCATCGATGCGCCACCTGTTGAGTCGAGGATTGTTGCAGAAGAGCCATTCGGTGAGTTACATTACAGTTATGCATACACCCCGTTTGCCCTTTTCGTTATCATAGAAACCACAAAGGCCACGAAGCTTCTCATCTCTCTGCGTTATTATTCTACTGTTTTCCTTTCAATCTTCTCATCTTTGGCCCCAATCTTTTCATGCTTTGCTTTATTTTGTTGATTCCGAATTTTGCAACTGCCTTAAAACGAAACATCAATTAACCGGCTTCTCTCAGGCCCAATCGTGCCCCTCATCCCCTGGAAAGATGAAGCAGCGGTGATCGAAGCCGCGAATAACACCAAGATGGGGTTGGGCTCATCCGTCTGGTCCAACGACCTGGACCAGGCTCGACGAATCGGGAAACAGCTTGAAGCTGGCAACGTATGGATCAACGCACACCAGGAAGTCAGTCCTAGTGTACCATTCGGCGGCCACAAGGAGAGCGGTATTGGCTTTGAGGGCGGCCTCGACGGCCTGAAGAGTTACTGCAATGCGCAAGCATTTTATATCAAGAAGGCTAAATTGTAGAAGTGGGTGGATCTCGGGGTGAGGGTTGGGCAAAGTTCCTGTATTCTCGTGATGGCTGATGGGGTTGAGGGCGAGAAGGCCTATCGTATAGATTATCGTTGCTCGGTGCAGTCGTGACGACGGCGCTGAATGAAGATGTGCTTAGCCCATGAACCATGAATTGCGAGAGCGGAGTTCTTGAGCAGTACCTACCGTACGCCTTTTGTTGCAATTATATAGTTAGCCTTTATCTAGTCCTGCGCTCGGCCGTGAATGATTGCCAGCAGTTCTGAATTTGTAGAATGATAACCACAAATATTCAAATCGCGTCATGAAATAAATCAATACTCTTTGCATATCGTCCAGATTAGCTTGTTCATTTTCTATTGTCGTATTCTTGCGCTCGTCACGATCTCACCCATCCTCATGGGTGTTTGACACAGGTATATCTATACAGCCCATCAACCAAAACCTGTCCGTACCTACTCAGTATCGCCCTCCAAGACGGAAGGGATAGTTAGGCCGGGATGGAAGAACTTTATGTGATCTGGGCATCATTTTATACAACGCAACTAGTTTACCCATGTCCCTAGCGATTCCAAATAAGAATGATTCTACTAATAACAATAATTCGAACATTTCAAGGCCCTTCCTTACCATTCGGACCATCTCCTCGGCGGCCCCTCCTCTCCTTCCACCAAACCCTGCAGTGGTGGCCATTTTATTTCTATACGACACAATCCAACGATACGGAGAAAAATAAGGCAAAAAGGCAGTTTAGACCAAGCAAGCAAGGTATACCTACTAGTTACACCCTAGCACAAAGGGCAACGATCCTAGTATACGTATATACTGTACATGTACTGTACATGTACTTCCCGCCTCCTGCACCCATCCCCGCGTACCTGGTCTTGCATGTCAAGGTGAGGATTTTGTTTGGTAGGTGGGCACTAGCCCCGTTAGCACGCGAGTGTGCGAAGAAATGGCTACTTTTTTTTTTTTTTTTTTTTTTTTTTGCTGCGCTAGAGCTCGTATAAGAGCGAAGTTTTTGATGAGTTGGGCTTTAAGAGATTTTTTTTGAGGGATTGGTGGGAAGATGCGTGTGCGGGTGGACGAGATGGCCGGAGAGAAAGTGAAGGGTTAAAAAGTTTCAAAGTATTCTATAACCTAGTTATGCGGTGGTTATGATTTGTAGGTTTCTATTGTCGGCTTGATGTTGGGCTTTAAGTTAATTTAAATCTGAACTGAAGTGGATATCATTGGTTATGCAATCCTCTACTGTTGTTTCGTTTCTAACTTGTTATTATCATTCATCATTGGGTTGCTACCGAAAGAAGAGGAGAATGGAAAGAAATATAAAATAAACTTTTAACTCCCTGTTCTGTTAAGGCGGCTGAAAATCGAGAAATCAGCATTTGCCACCGTTTTTATGGGTTGTGATGAGGTAAATCAAGTTTGGACGACGAAACCTACACATTGGAGCAAAGATGGTCCGCCATGAGCGGAAATAGTAGTAACGGAAGGTAGGATGTGCGCGGAGGGGGAGCTCTGGGATTTAATATGGTTTGAAGCCGCGGTCCTTACGTCGCTTCTCCCGATGGGCGCCATCTTTCGATCGATGCTTTTCCGTGTGGACATTCTCTGGGAGAGTGCGCTTGGTGGATGACTTAGACAGCTCTTCTTGACGTCCTTCCTCAATCTTCCACGATCGCACGTATCCATCCTCTCCACATGTGAAAATGGTATTCGACTTAGAGGTTTATTTGTTAGGTCGTGTTAGTCAGATTGTAGTTTGAGCAGGCTGGTTGAGGTACTATAGCAAAAATACATCGACGAATTTGTACTTTCGTACATACATTGTCATCCAGAAATACCGATCGAACGATTTCTTCGCCGTGGGCATCTGGAATCCTCCAAGTACCCCCGATGTCGAGGTCAAATTTGGGTGACGAAACTAAGGGTGTGAGGTCGAGCCGTTGTTCACTTGAATGGACAAGCCATATGAGAGGTTAGGTCTACCCCGCAAAATTACAGCGAAAAGCACAGATGTTTCCACGAAGAATCTATTTGGGGGGGGAGAGCCAAATTCAAACCTCGTTTTCCCAGATACCACAAACGCGGCCCCACGCCCATGGAGAACTTGCGCCACATAATCGCTCTGTAGTACAGGACGGAGATCGCCAAACTGAATAGCTGCGGGCTCTACAGCGTTCTCGTCGGGGTTGTTGAAAGGGTGGATCGAGAAAACCTCGTCATGGCTTAGAGCGTATATGGCGTGCTCCGCCAGGAAACCGGCTCGGTGTATGGATCCATGGTTTACAACCTGTAGAAGAGCCTCGTCTTCATCCGAAATTGTGGTATCGTAGATGTTAACTAGCCCATCAGTGCTTCCAGATAATAGGACGTTATGTCGTGTAGGGTGGAATTGCAACTACGAACGCATTAGTGGTGTCTGGGGGAGATTTGGACAGCCTGAGTCAAATCCCTTGGGGGCTTGCGGACCAACCGCAGACAGAAGCCCGGAACCAACATGTAGAAGGGAAATGGAAAGAAGTTGGGTGTGTGGAACGAATGGGAGAAGCGAATGGAGTTAATTACTTCAGTTATATCGTCGTTATGACTCTCGACATATTGAAGACAGGGCTGGCCCGGAGATCTGATGTCCCTGGGAAAGGTCGGTTAGCAGATCCGAGGAGAGGTGGGACAGCCTCGTACGTGCAGTAAAATGCATGGGAGGGTTGGCACGGTAAGTCACTGGGTCCCTCGCACGAACGGTGATAGCTGAGGGGAATGAATTAATGCAAGTATGTCCCCAGGGAAGTAACAAAGAACTGGTGGTACCGAATCCGCGTCCGATGCAAGTGCGTGGCTTCAGGCTAATTGCATTAAAAAGACCAACAAACTTACCAACATATAACAGAAGATTGAGATGCCACGAACTCAGTCCCGGCGACGATGGTGCACGGTCCTGGGCCACAGGTAAGTGCGGTGATGGGTGCCGCCTTAGCTAAAGTAGGGCAGATCAGCACACAAACAATATGTGGAGCTTTTGTCATAAGTACTTGCAACAGACATTTTTTGAGCATAGAGAAGTATGAGGACGAATATCCAACGCAACATCCACGACAAACCCGCATGGAAGGTGGATGTAAGGGACCAGGACAAGGGGATAAACGGAGAGAGTCAAGAGGTATCAAAATGAGAGCCGCGAGGGGACGAAGTAGTTCCATGTTGCTCTGCATGGGCATTAGTATCTTACCTGAAGTGGCCGTCAGAACCGCATCTCTTCTTTTATCCCTAGCATCCCACAGTTTCACTGTCCCATCTCTGCCAGAGGTAGCAACCAGGGTTTTCCCTTCAGCAACAGCGGGATCAACTTCGCAGACACAGGTCACCCCACCGCCATTACCAGGATGAATGTTTGCGAACACCCCATTCGGGAGGACCTTTAACGTCTCGCGATCAAAGCGTCGCAGCGAGTTATCTGATGAAATCGCAGCAAGCGCATCAATGCCACTCTGGCACAAAGAGTAGATGTAGCTCCCATCCGGAAGGGAGAGAGATGACTGGCCTTTCCTGTGCAACAGTCGATATCGTGATGGAGAAGCCATAGGACTTGGATTAGGGACGGTCCTCGAGATACAGATACAGTGTGGTATGGCAACCTGTTCATCTATCCGCTCATTGATGTCCGCGGTGGTGGTTGGTAGAACATCATAATCAATTTTTTGAGCAGAAAATATTTTTTCCTCGAGATTGCTGCTAGTCCAGACTGTCAGAAGATTCCAACAAAAATTAAACGGAGACCATGGTATATCCAACAAGAGGTCCACAACTCTTCTTGGAAACATTTACCCTTCCAATGCAGACACCCAGGATAGCGCTCTCGCCCTTGGGGTTTTGGATACTGGGTACGTGTGAGGATGCTGTTTGCCCTCATTTGCGGCGTTTGTCCATTCATCCCAGGAATACCTCCGTATGGTATGTACGCGTACCGTACGTGCGGGTATCGGTGTTGAAATCGAAACAACCTAAACACGGAGTGTAACTGACACGGGCAGAATAGAACTTACCGTACGGAGTATTGTTGCCGGCCACGACCCAATTGGATAGTTCCAAGGTTATTATGGCTCCTGCACGACGTTTCCCATGAGCTAAACCAGGCCACTGGGGCCATTGGGGCCATTGGCGGTCCGTCGCAGCTAGTTATACGCTGGTGATCCGACGCTCTGGGACGGAAAGCCACCCCCCAAGCGAGCTCCTCCGGCATGGTCAATGGCCGTTTCCTGTCAAATGCGCTAGGGGTTAGTCCTGAGGGAACGTCGCATCCCGAGAGGTGTGTGGATGCACCGGTGTGCGCGAGACTAGTGGTTTCATTCAACGATACAAGGCATGTCAGTATTTCGTATTTTCGCATGTACCAGCAGGATCCACTGATTACATAGTACTACTAGTATTCATCGAGCTCCTCTCATTTGTCGTTGATAAAACACCAAGAGTGCATCCAAGGGTTCCTCAAATATCCCTTTCCAACGGCAACTTCAAAGCCCCAGCAAGCTGTGTAAGGGCGGAATGCTAAATGAAGAGCAAATACGATTTGTCCTCCCAAGACTGAAAGGATCCATGACTCCAGAATTGTCACCCACTGGCAAGCGAAGGGAAGAAATGACCCGCTGCATCAAAATAAATAATCACGTACGATTGTGCCATGGAATTGCCACGATATCCCTCGTTCGCAATGCAAGGGGGTTTCACCGTGCTCCGAAGCAACCAGTCACAGCCGATATCGCGAGCAACCCGGTCAAGAAAAATACAACACTGGCATGAATAATATTCGCTAGGCCCTTTTGTTTTTCTGCGGGAAAAAAAGACTAAGCTCCAGCAAGGCAATATGCGCCATCTTACGGTGTGGTGGGTGTGCCTTTTGACATGGCTCATAACCTTCCTGTGCGGTACATCGACACGACATACAATCCTCCGAAGCATTTGACGAGACTTCCACTTACAATTTTACAAGCTATTCTAGCACCCACCATTCAAGGCCTTGTCTAAAGCCAACATAATAGTATGTGTATAAGTACTGCTAGTACTTTGAATCAACGGCATGCGTCTACGATTGAGTTTAAAAAACGTTGGCAGCCTCAAACGCTATTATAGAAACAACATTTTCCAAAACACAACCGGCAACTGAGAAATAAATAGTTACCAACGCTGCGTTTCAAGATCCCTTTGCTCAAGAGTCCAAGTTGACTTTGAATTGAATCCATCTTCACTTGTCAAACCATCCCAATTCGTAGTTACCATGTAGCCACTCGACGGGTCCACGGGTTGAGGTACGGTGAACTCGTCCAATAAAATGACCAAGACCATAACGCTGTTGCCGAAATACCCAAACCCTATTGGAGACTTCGCATGATCGTCAGTCGCCGAAAAAGGCTACTTTGACTTCCGGCAGACTCCACCACGCACCGCGACCAACCATGACATCCTGTCAGCGCCAAGTCGAGCCCATTATTCATAGTTTCATACCGACGCCATGCTCTGCTAGGAGAGCGGCACGCCCGCTATT